AATTGCGCCTCAAAATAGATACTATTTTATGTCAATACGCAAATAAGTATATTTAAAAAGGCAACATGCGAAATTATTGTGTGTATTAATGACCAAAACTATTTTGATAAATAAAAAGTATTGAAATATAACTAGATAATTAAAATAAAAACCGATTATTATATTTTTTGGCTATAATATTACAGCAAGTAAAAACAGTAGAGACAGTTCTGGAGAAAGCAGCACGAAATCGTAATGTTTCTAATGGAAAAATTAAACGGCTGATTTCAGTTTGAAAGTAATAAGTTAATAATGTTTATTTTATTTTATTTTATTTTGAATTTAGGTAATATCTCCTTTTTAGCAGCAGAAGTACTACGTAAAAACATGGACATAAAAAATGTGATGAAAAGCAACATTTTAAAATCGCTATATTCTTAAAGAAGGCATATTATATGAATTAAAGCACAGCTGAAAAATGTAAAATAACAATCATCTCAGTTTTCCTTAACATGAAATAAAAAATGTACTTTGTGTTTGTAAAATAAAATTTGGTATTTTAAAACCACTTTTATGAAGGCTCACTGAAGTAATAATTAAGTAAACTGTAGGATTGAAAAACGCGACAGAAAATCATCTCATTCAATAAGTATATCAATAAAGTATGGGACATGACCTCTAAGGTGTGGAATGAATAGCTTTTTAACTGAATACTAAGTGCACTTAATTAGATTAAGAGGAAAAACGCGAAGCCAAGTAATGTCTTCGTGGAGGTCTTTCTACAGCAAACTGATTCGGATTTATATTACTCAAGGAAAACCATGAAAACATATGTAGCTAGCCCGTTCACTGCGATCTTAAATTCCGAACTGTCGGCTTTTCAAGAAAGGAAAGTATATAATATAATTTCATAAAAATTGGAAAAATGTTCGAGATATTAAATTTTTCTACCTAAAGAAAGTCGATTTTTTAAGAGAAGTTATTTTTAATACAGTTTGTCTGTGGAAAGAATTCAGTCTGATTTGATAAAAGTATCAGGTTGTAGAAATGCGAGTTATTGACGTTCTAGTTTAGTTTATCCTAAAGGAAAGAGGAGAGAGGGGAGAATGGTGTCCGGTTCTTTAATATATTGGTAGAGAATACTTCTACACTGTAAAAAATTTGGTTCGAAGTTTCACCAAATTATGGTACCAAAAAAGTTGCAACCAAAAGTTGTAAACCAAAAGTAAAATGTTGCTCCATAATTTGGTGCTTTGAGTGAAACATTGTTTGGTCATATGTTGGACCATGAATTGGCATCCATGATTAGAGAATGTTGAACCGTGAAGTAGGAATACGTTGAACTATAAATTGGAGACATATTGAACCATGATTTAGAAATACCGTAAACCGTTAATTATAATTATATTTACCGTTAATTGTAACTATTTTTAACTATTAATTATAAGGTACAGGAAATTATTTCAGAACACAGGCATAAAATTTCACATTAGCCATTTTCTGCTGATTCTTCTGGTATTTTGTTATTCCATTATTGCTATGGAAATGCTTGTTAATAATTATTGTTATAAGTTATCAATTATTATATATTCTATTATACAATTAATAACCTATAGCAATCGACTGTTACTTTTTTCTATATGACAAACAGCATGCGAATTAGACTATCAACAAAAGTTTAGAATTTTTTTATTAGATTCATGTTTTATTGTGTTTAATTTTGCAAATATAAACAAGTTTTCAGAAGCAAAATCGCAGATTGCAATTGAATAACGGTTCCATTTTATTTAACGCCTCAACACAATTTTTTAATATTTGGCACAAAATTGTTTAATTGTTAAATCACATAAAAAATGTTCAACTTGTTTTCCATGGTAAATTGATTTGACTAAAGCCTGCTTCAAGTAGGTACGAAGAGAGGAAAGTCAATAATGTTTGCTAAATGTAACAATATTTATTTTGGGACGTTTCTGTCGAATGACTTGCAGATTCCAAAACTTTGCAGATTATGCTTAAGATCTTTCTTCAATGGAATTAACTCTTACTGCAGCATAATCTAAGATATATCGCAAATCAGTGGTGATATCATTGTATATCCTCTGTGAATATATACAGTTCTTTTCAATAATAGAAAATAGCATTTGTGTATCGTCCTATTTTGTATAAATCCTTTCTTACTATCTGATATAGCTTTATATCAATAAAAATTATCAATTTTATTATTACATTTTTTGTAGTAAGATTTGAATATGCCGATCTACTGCTGGTGCATGTTCAACTATTGATATCGATTCCGTTAGGAACTCCTGATTTCCCAATATTTAAATCCAAAAGAGAGAGAGGCATTTTCCCAACATAAAAATGAAATTACGCATTGTTTTTAGTGTATAATTAATAGATATTTAGTTGATTAAAATTAAGATACAAAAAATAAATTATTCTATGCATAATTCGTACTTTTATTCGGTTCGAATCCCGCGAACGGGCTGGCTGCATGGGCGTTTTCGTGGTTTTCCCCATGTGTTACGTGTATACGAGCCAGTTTCCCTTAGAAAGTCCTCCACGAAAGGCATCCCTCCCTTTAGGCAGATAGCCCTCGAGGCTTTGCCATAATCACACACACACACACGTACTTTTATTCACATTCCATGGCATTTATAAGCTGATTAAACAGCTGGAGATCCTGATAAATATTACTTGAAAAATTATTTTAGTCTAAAGACCTTAAGAACTAGTATAGGTTAAAATGTATTAAAATGTAGGTATGTTAAAACGTAACATGAATAGCTATGACACAAAGTAAATTTTACAAGGATTCAAATGAATTTTCTTATTTAAAAGCAGGTTTTATTTTCTTAGAGATTAAACATATCTCTCGATAATATAAATGTTAAAATATAAGATAATGAAAAAACAGTACAAAAAAATCATTACAAAGAAATTAAGGAAGAACATATTGAAATAATCAGAGGCTGAAATAATGCACGGCTGATACACAAGAATATTAATAATTCAAGAAATATTTTATATTGATTGCTGCATATATATACATATAAACAAACATAATTATATATTATATTGCATAACTTAATTTACCTAAAGCAATTCTGGATATCAACTGCTGATACATATTTTAATAAATAATTTTTCGAATTAACTATCACAACTGTAGCATTTAATATATTTCAATTTTTGTAAATCAAAATAAATATATTACTCTTATTGCACATATATTAAATGAAGATGAAAAATGCATTATGAAATGAAAACTTGATAAAATTAGGCTTGAAATTAAAAGTTTTGAATTTTGCACAGAAATTCTGTAAAAACATGAAAACAAAATATTCTACTTTAATGCTATCCTTATGATGAAGATTCATAACTTTACAAGGTATTTTACCACTGATTTAAAAAAATAATACTGTAAAAATTAGTACAAGATATTTCGGCTAAAATGCAGAATCGCCCACTTATTTGTTTGGCGTTTATTTGACGCTTTTTACAAGAGAAGAAGAATTGGATTTTTGTCAATTTTCTTTGACTTTTTAAGTGAAAATAAGTCGATGTGTACATGGATAAAGTCAAGGAAGTGCGCAATGCCATTTTTTGTGCAATTCTGGGATATTTTTTCAAGTGAAAATAGGTCGAATTGTACATGGATACTAAGTATGTGCAATTCTTAAAAACGTGCCAAGCAGTGGGCGATTCTGCACTTTCCCCGATATTTCTTTTGGAGAGCTTATATTCATAGTGTAGCAATAACATAGCAGTACGCAACAGCCGAAGTAAAATCATTTCAGACACAAAGTTTCATTTTCTGCAACTACACAGAAGTAAGAGGAAAAAGCAGTATGTCCAACTGAAAAAACTTTAGGTGAAAGTGACTGTAACGTTTTTTCAGCATCAGCAGGAACCTAAAAAAACATAATTGGGGGAGAACAAGTTCAGTAACATGTATAATAATGGAATTTTTAATAACAAAAAAATTTATTGCCAGAATAAGTCATATAACATTTGCACAAGATGAAGTGCCTCTACACACCACAAATCCTGTCCTGCATCTTCTGTAATCGACACATGAAAATGTCCACGCCCTGAATTGCTATAATATGCACGAATAACTAACAAGATCTCTACATGTTATACCTTGTGACTTTTGATTATGGCTATTTTACCGCAGGTACAAAGAGGTCATCTGATATTACTGGCCATGCTGAAACAATTTTTTCCCATCAGCACCATGGAATATAGATGAACTCTTACTGAACCCTATCTGTATGACAACACCGTACTTAGCAGATGAATTTTAGTGGCAGTGAAACTGTACTGCATCACTATACAATAATATAACTGCTATTCGTGTGTCAGGACTTATGAATTTATTCTGGCAGTAAAACAGCAACAAGCTTTATATGAGTGTATGCTAATGTTAGAACCAAAAAATACTCTGTTGAATTCGCAGTTTAGTCTTTGCGCGTTCATAGGTTAAGAACAAATTTATCCATCCTCAGCTTACTATTAGAAAACCATGACGCATTCGATGACTTGAAATCCCATTCCTCCGTAACTTCCTACATACCCGCATTAAAACCATTGACTTTAATTTAAATTTCATTTCGAAGTACTTTACGAATGCAAATTCCTCTTATTAAAACTGATTCTTTAGAAATATAAGAATTACTGATTTTGGCTAAATGTAAAGGACCTCTTATCACTAACTGTTTCCTAACGTCATCTTCATTGAAACACTTTAAATTCCATAAAACTCTGAAATTTCAATATGCGTTAAACAGACGGAATATAATTCAGGAAAATACATGATACCAATAAGTATTTGGACACCTATGCAATGCGATTCTGCGGTCCTAAGGTATCGTCCCCGACCCCCCATAATATCGTGTAGGAAACAGCATGGCTTTAGGCGCATGCAAGATGCTCGAGTTCGGAGCTCTCCGATTTCTAGAAAGGTATAATTATCGGGTATCACAATATGGCCGATCTTAAAAGGACAATCTAGCGATATGAAGTACCCAAATCGCCAGTGGCCTGGTGTATTAAGAGGTGGAAGGTGAGAGGTGATTGTAGGAATGTGCCCCGAGTCGGCAGACCAACAATGGGAGATAAGCACACGAGTGCTGTCCAGAAATTCGGAAGACCACCCAACCGATGGCCCTCATCCGCGAGTTTCACAGGCTCCGGGAGTATTGTTTTCAATGAATACCATCCGTAGGAAGCACATCTGCTTGGTTTTCATGTCGTGCTGCTGCCCAGAAGCCTTTGATCACAAAGCAAACGCGCTGCTCGGTTAATGTGGTGCAAAGCACATCGAAATGGACCGGATCAGGGAAACGGGTTCTTGAGTGACGAAATCAAGGTTCACCCTTTAACGTTCGGATGGCAGGGGTCGGGTCTGCGTCTACTGAGAAACGTCTCTCCAAGGCATTGTGCCAACATAAGTCGGCGGAGTGGAATTATGTTCCTGGGGGTTTCCTGGTAGGCTGGGGTCCTTGGTAAGCTCAACTCCGATGCTCTGCCTATTGTATGACATGTGCTTCCTAGTTGTGGCAGTTTTACGGGTTGGACCCCTGTTACATTCAGGACGACAAGGCCAGTGTCATTTTTCGACGTTAACCAAGCTTGGTATGGTGCCATGAGTTCTCGAATGGACTGGCTGTCGAGAAGACCGAACTCTACGAAGTCTGGGACGAATCGCCGAATTCGGGTGCACTACCCGTGCAAAATCGGCGAAGGAACTTCTATGTCTTCTCCAACGAGGGAGAAAAATACCACTACTGTCATACAAGCCTTGTGGAAAGTATCCCCGGAGGGTCCACGCTGTAATTACCTCTCGTGGAGGCTCTACCAACTATTGATTTTGAATAAAGTTAGTTTTTCTTTTTTATTACAGGTGTCCAAATATTTATTGGTAGTCAGTGTATAATGAAATCGGGGCTAATCTTCCATGAGCGGAGTAAGCTGGCGCCAAACTATTTTCGTTTTCGATGTAAGACTTCATTTTGTAATTGCCAATTGCAAAAAAGAAACGGTGATGTAAAATTTAACATCGCCAAACAAAAATGACGCAAAATGCAACACAAGCATATCCTTATTAACAACTATCTTCGCAGAATATTTTGGACACTCCACAGTTTCAATTGAAGGAAATAAACCAACTTCTGAAATAAATTGTATAACATTTTCCTCGGACTCCAAAATTGTCAAACAAAATATATATAAATTCACTAACAATGAATGCATCAACTCGCTAAAATATACAAGTTAATATCGTCCGTGGAATTCAACACATTGAACTACCGCTCAACAATCGCGCCAAATAACACCTGCCAAGTTTCGCGCTCCCCCCGCTTATAGAAGATTAACCGAAATCAGAATAAAATAAAAACTTTGAAGAGAACAAGAAAACATATGTGTATGCATAAGTCATGCATACACATAAATTAGTACTGTATTTATAAGAATAAAGTAAATAAATTGTCAACAACAACAACAAAAAAAGATATATATATATACATATATATATAAATTCACTAACATAGGCATCAACTCATAAAAATATGCAATGAATCGTCCGTGAATTCAACAATTGGTTTACTGCCCAACATCGCGCAAAATAACACCTGCCAGTTTCGCGCTACCCCGCTTAGGGAAGATCAACCTAATCGGTAAATCCATAAAAAACTTTAAGAGCACAAAAAAAAGTGTTGCATAATCTGCATACATATTAGACTGGATTTAAAACATAAAGTTAAAAATTGTACTAAACGTTTGCACCGATAAGTGATTTCGAAATCGTAGTCTAGCTACTAATACTCAACTCTTATTTCAAAAATAATTTTCTTAACAGCAGAAACCTTATTAAAATATGGTGAGTTTAGAATGTAGAGTTGGCAGCTTACTGAATTTTGTTTAAGTCTGAATAAGAACGAATACAGATATTATATGAAAAATATCCTGAAAGGGATCCAAAATAGCCTCCGATGGAATGCATTAGGAAAAAAAAACCAAAGTAGTTTCTAGAAAATACTATTTACGTTGCAAAACTTACATTATGTCTGACATTTTACTGTCATAAGTCTTATAGAATCGTTTCAGTGCTACTCGGGCCATTTCTTTACTACAGCTACGAAAAATAACACTATAAACATACGTAGCTATGAATAAACTAAAAATATGTGTACATAAATCAATGCATAGATGCGAATAAATTAAAAAAATACATACATAAATAAAAAAATAGTAACGAATACTCTAAAAATATACATACCTTGTAATTTTCAATTCCACGTAAGTAAATTTTACAAACCACAAGCGTTTTTAAAGATGGTGGTAAAAAGAGGCTGACGCGCTTGCGCTGAAATGGTTTGTATTGATTGGCTGTAACGCGTTGCCAGAAAATGGTGAAAACTTGAACCCTTCTTGCACTTTCATCATTTATCGGTGCTGTTAAAAAAACTATTGAACCATGTTTTGTTCGTCTTCGAATGTTTAACCATTAAATGGTGCAACATTGTACTAACATTTTTTACAGTGTACAACGGTTTCGAAAAAAAGATTTGATATCAAATTTCTAACGATTTAGCGTTATAATTTTCACAGCTTTGAAAATTAGACTTGAAATATTAAAAGCATACGCGAGCAATTTTAACTTCTCGCAGATATTGATTTACTGATTTACACCTACACATAATAAAGGATTACTGTAATATTCGGAATACGCCATTATAATATAATTTATAAATATAATACCCATATCACTGAGTCATATACGAAATAACTTGTAGTGCAAACGTAATCGTCCGGGGAAGTTGTCCTCAAGAATCAATTTTTGATCGCAAGAAGTGTTAAAAATGATTGTTATTAAAAATATTGGTATAAATTAAAAATTTGTCTACAAATTTTGCAAATATTGTTGAACAATCTCTATAAATGTTGCTAGTGCAGAAGATTATATTTCGAAGTTAAAGTTAATTAAATATTAATTAAGAGAGAAAGGATGAGTCAAAAAAGAATGAGTTAGATTTGAGAGAGTAAGCGGCCAAATTGGTGCGAAACGAGCAAGAAAATTTCTTTAATGTACAGATAGTGTGTATGCATATTATTACGTGTGTGTGTAGTTATTTTGTTTCTTGATAATGTAGCAGGTATAGAGTACGTATTACTCAGTTTTTTAATTATACATTTTATTATATTTAATATAAAAAACTTTAATTTCAAATTCTTCAAAACTCATATTTCTACTTTTTTTTTACTAACTTTCCTCATATTTTATAACTGTGCATAAAGCTTGGTTGTTTCCAAATTAAATGTTTGTTCCAAAGAGTGTGAAGATATACTGAAAGCTGCGTGCGCCTTGAGCTCGAATTAAAGAAATATAACTAATGATTTTAAACAATATAAAACGGGGTTTGAATTCTAGGGATTGCTTTTTGCAAACAATCTGGACTGGATTAATTGATAGGTTAAGCGATAGATCTTGTCTAGCAAAGTGATGGATCGTTAATTATTTTGAATAAAATAAAGTACCCTTTAAAACTACACCATTTGGTCCAATATCGGCAGAATGAATAAGAAAGTTTAACTCTGGTGTTTGGATTCGGATTCGAGTCTCAATAAGCTACCTGGTTGTATGGGTTTTTATAGCTTTTCGTATGTGAAACGTGAATACCTGTCGGGTTTCCTTAGAAAGCCCTCCACAAAGTCATCCCTGCCCTTACACATATAGGCTTCTCATGCTTTGTTTTAAACAATTAATTAACCCTCACTCGTAATATCGTAATGAAAACGAATATTTTCGATAAAAAACAGTATGCTGAATGTTCATTGTTAAAAAATTTCCATCTTTACAGTCTAGTGACCATTTTTCATATGATTGCACTTCATGCCATCAGTCTGAAAAGTTTGCCTATTTTTCGATTAATTTTGGCACTGGATCAGACTTTCATACCTGAATTATGAGCTATGCTGATAAATAAGTAATATAAGTGAATGATGAAATTTTTTATTAAAAAGTAAAAGAGGCAGATTCGTCATTTCGGCAGAAGAAGAAAGAGAACGTCCCGCAAGCGAATATTCACAGTCTGAATTTTATTTTTTTTTTAAAAATAAATTTCAATCACATAAAACTCATTCTGAAGCTATCTCTGATGATGCATGAAGCATAGCTCAAATCCCAGATTTCTATTCATTGCTGGAAACTTACTTGGAGACAAAACTGATGTTTTTCAGATTTTGCAAAATTCTTGACACTTTTCATGACTACAAAAGAATCTGCGGCAAACACATCTAGAACCCAAAGCGTTCTCCTAAAATTAAGCAACCTTATCCAGGAATGGGGCCTAGTTGCACTGATGATTAAAATTACATATCAAGATTTCAAATTATTAGTTGCACTGACGATTAAAATTACAAAGTGGCCAAAATTAAATCGTTATTTTTACTCAAAGTCGTATATTCAAGAAAGAAATATAAATTTGAATTTACTTTTGTTTTAGGAAAAGGGAAGTGGGAAATTCTCATTTTAAATGTTCGATTTTTTACTGCTTACCGATGCAAGCAAATTAAAGCATTATATCATCCCTTTGAGAGGTAGGTAATGTCACATTGGGGCAAGACATCCTAAAATTCTGACTTAATTTCGAGATGCCTTAAATTCTATTTTAACGCAATTAAAATTATTTTAAATGATTTAAAATACATTACTTACAAATTTAAAAGTAAGCAAACACATTTTTTAATGTCACTTTCACTAAATTCTCTGATTTTCGTTTCGATAGCTTCCTCTCACTACTTACAACAACGTCAGAACTTAATAAAAATAAATTAAATGTACCTTCATTGCATTACTCTCCTCTATTTTTTATTAATTATTGCCTTCATTATTTTAATTAGGCCGCTTTGTTGGCATAGCAGCCGAGCAGGAGACTGCTACAACTTTGAGCCCGAGTTCGAATCCTAGAGAAGGCAAGGGCATTTGTAAGTGCATTAGTATCTTTGCGACATGGGGGGCACTTTAAATATTGTCGAAACGAATGTCTTATTGAGTAGTTT